TTTTTATTATTAGATAGCTATTTTTGTTTCTGAGTTGTGTTCATTTACATGCTCAATTTTTTTCCGTTTCTCTTTTTTGATTTTATATGGGGTTTCAAGTTGTTTTTGACTTATTTCGACGTAAATCACAACAACACACTTTTTTAATAAAGCAAACAAGTGTTAAGAGGTATATGTACGTGTAAACTACAATTACAAAAAATTGATATGAAACCCATGAAACCACCAACAAAAATGTAAAGCTAGCTTCCGTACTAGAACATGGTGTCATTCGTCGAGATAATTTATCGTTTTGTTTAATAGATCAAGAAATGTAAATATTCCCCTGTTATTTTTTATAAAATTATAAGAGAAATAAATTTTTTTCTAAATAGTATAGTTTATTATTTTGTAGAAAAACAAAATTTCGAAAATTTTAGTAATGTTTCAGAAACAACCGTTATTAATAATAGGTACCATTTTCCTTAATAAGGTAGAAATAAAATATAAACTATTTCCACGATTTACAAAGGCCTACAAAAAAATTATAGGTATTTTCCGCTATCCTATAAAATTTATATTTTCTGACTCAATTTCAAAAGGTTAAAGGAATTCCAAAACACCTTTTATGGCATAATAATTATTTTCAATTTTACATACTATCTTTAGCTGCTTTTAAAAACGTTCTTAGAAAGTCCAATCAGACCAATTTAATACCTAAACTATTCCACACTTTTAAAATTTAATTACCTAAAAATATTAAAAACTATTTAAAATACCTTGTTTAGCAGACTGTACAATAGCTATCTTAGTCACACGTAGCGCGTTCTCTGTCTGGGCGTCGAACACCTCTAGAAATTTGATGAACTGTAATCGCATCTGTACCACTATGGAACGTTTTAGTTAATTTTAACAGCCAGGTTAAAAGGTTATTTATAACTATGACATTTATATTTTTACTCAAATCTCTATTTGATATTCCATCAATTTAATTTGGTGTTATTAGCTATTTCAAAACCAATCCCAATTAAAATAGACATGGAATAACTAAAATTGAATTGAGATTAAGCCCAATGCATCGTTAAAAATAAGAAAAAGAATATATTTAACATGTAATCATTACTAGAATTATTACTGACAAGTTATAATTTATAACTAAATAATAGAGAATACAAAATTAAAAATAAAATCCGGATATTTTTATAACACAGGATTAATTTTAACCAATTTTTTGCATAATCGAACCCAATGTCGGGTATAAGAAGTTATGTAGAAATAGTATTCAATATCATCCAAATAAAAACATAAACGTTTAAATGAATATATTAAATAAATTATGATATATTTGTTTATTTCAAAAATAATTTTTATGTCGGTATTTGTAACAATTTGTAAAGATAACTCTTATGCGATAACAATAATATTTAAAGGTTTTAAATAAGGTCTTGAAGATATCACAGTTCGAAATTGCTTTAATTGACAATAATACTTTTTTTGGAACGAAAGCATTAGTTCCTCTTTTTCAGTTAAGCTCCATAAATAAATTCATATTTTAATCTGAACGGTACTTAAGCGTAGTAAAGTTGCAATAACTAAACAATATAGTGAACTTTTCAAAAATTTCTAAGTTAAAATGAAATTCAGTTTATAATTAAAACTAAATAAGTTAGCCAAAATTGTTGATCGTATGAAGTTATAAATAATTACGTTACAAAGATTCATATAAGAGCACCCTTATAATAAAATAACACTAAAGTAATAAATAAATCTTTATTTAAATCCGACCACTTTACAAATCCACCAAAGCTATCGAAAATCTCATCATTGAATGTCGATTCCAGTCTTTAAAAATATGCGTGCTAAGCACCACTTGCTAGCGAAGACCAACTTCCTCATATTAATTATCATAACAGAGAAATAAACAAAAGTGTCTTTAAAAATTGTCTTTTAGTTGGCCATACTACCTTGACTAACGTCGTCGTAGTCGTCGGATTCATGCGAGTTGTAAAATTCATCTTTCTTTTTCAATTAGGTGCTGAAATCCTGCTTTTTTAGATAAGTCTTTAATTTATAAACAACGTAAACATCCCTTAACGTAGTTTTTGATATACTTAGTCATACCAGGAAACCAGTAGAGGTTACGTAATGCTCAGTTTGATCATGGTAGACCGTAACTAACTTATGCCTGATGCCTTGCTTGCTTGGGGACTAACCGTTTCAAATTCTGTCCCTCCTTGGAATAAATCCGACCATTTTCAAGAACAAAATCCACATGCAGCTTCTCCTCCTGGTCAGTAGAAGTTCTACGAAGCATTTCATGAATATGCTGCCAACGTTCATCTTGAAGTTAAACAGCTAATACCCAATCATGATCATTGATATTCATTAGAAAGACGAAAGCGTATTCAAAATCTTCAGGACTGTTAACAGCATTCCTGCTTAAGGCGTCTGTATGTGACATTTTTGTTCCGTAACTGTACTCTATTGTAAATTCATACTCTAGTAAGCCACCAACGTCCGACTCTGGGTATCAGATTAGGTTTTGTAAGGGTAGACCTGACAGCATTGTAATCTGTTACGACTTTAAATTGAATTGAATATATTGAGCATATAACAATAAAATATAGAGAACCTCAAAAATATAACCGATTACAAATCATGTGTATTCAAACAATGCTAAAACATATAGTATTTATTAAAATATGGACAACCCGTACATATTTTAATAATAAAATATAACTTTTTTCTTTATAGTTTTTGGGTTTTTAGGTGCTAGTGGAAAATGAAACTCGTGTGTGTGTGTGGGTAAAGCTTTCAGCACTGATTAGTGCCTTTTCCGGTAGTTTTTTTTATATTTGGTAAATTATTATTTTTTTGGCTTTAAGGCCTTGTTTTTTTAAACATCAAAACAGTTATTAAGTACAAATAACTGTTTTTGTTGTTGTGCCAAAAGATCTATTCTATTGTTAAGCTGACCAACCTCTTTATTGAAGGTTTCCTGGATTTGTAGCAAACCGTTCATAATTTCAACCGCTTCTTTTCTACGCCTCTCCTCCTTCTCCTCTTCTTCTTCCTTCCTACGCCTTTCATTTTCCTCCTCTTCTTCCTTCCTACGCCTTTCCTTTTCCTCTTCTTCTTCCTTCCTATGCCTTTCCTTTTCCTCGTCTTCTTCCTGCCTACGCTTTTCCTTCTCCTCCTCTTCTTCCTTCCTACGCCTTTCCTCTTCCTCCTCTTCTTCCTTTCTACGCCTCTTCCATCTTTAAAAACCATGTTGGTGGGCCTGAAGTATCCCCGCCTGCTTCGTACTCAGTGGATCTAGTATTTACCATGAACTTTTACTTTGTATCCCACCGCTGTCACTAATGTTACGCAGGTTTTTTGGTATCTCAATTTATTTAAACTCAACCTTTACAACAACTATTCAACTGATAATATTAACATGTAACGTCTATCATAAGAACTGTTGTTAGGATCATCCTTATATAGCTTCTCGAACCTTCTTGAACTGTCGTCTCGAATATTCTTGACGGATAATGACATTTCCAGACATTTCTGGAACTATTCTATCTTCTTTTACTTGTACTTTTACTTATAACGACCGCAGCACACTGTAGGGCGATGAGTAACATTCCACTTCTTTTTCTATCTGTACATTTCCTATAATTGCCGCAGGCTACTGCAGGGTGCTGCGTAACAATAATAATTAATATTTTTTTTAAGGTTATGTGTTGCGACAGTTGATCGTCTGTGATTTTAGGATTTTTGGATTTTACGCTGTGTTGTCAAATTATCTCCTGTAAAAAATCTCAGAACTAAAAAAAAAATTCCGACCCGTCCATATAAACTTACGGCGACAAAAATCAACTTACTCATATTTTAAATGCATTGCCTTGTAAAGTTATCCCTATTAAATGATCAATTTTAACCCAATTTCGGATATAAATAGATAATGTATGAATCTATTTGTGTTGGAGGATTTATTAATGCCATTAAGTCGTATTGGAATAGAAAGTGTCGAGAGATTTCATTTCACACATATTTAGATAATATTTTGTCATGATATTGCGTGCTCTTTGTATAAAAAAGGGTGACTGTCACAATTCATTCGGCTGGCCGTGGTTCTTGTGACAGTATCAAACCAGAGAAATTTAAATAAGAGATAAGATGGTGCTAAAGAGAAAAATATTTTTTGATCACCGTTCTTTAAAATATGATAATCAATTATATGCTTAATGGTACATAATTTTAAAAGAATTGAGTTTTTGGAGTTTTAAAATGTTGAATTATATTTGAGATGTTTTTTATTAAACCCTGTAACTTCTGTGTTGTTAATTTTTACTTGTAGGTCATATTGAACATTTTCTTAGATTTATGAATGATATACAGTGTGATTTATAAGGAATGGGTAATATTTTACTTGCAGTCTCTATAGATGAAAATATATTTTTTGCATAATTACTGGGGCGTCAAATATTATAACTTACTTGGATACATGGTGTTAAAGTTATAAAACTGATTTAGTAATGTTGCTTTGTTTTTGTTATTTTTTCACACAGAAACAAAGTCGACAGAATTCCCTTTTAATGACATATGAAAATGGATTTATTTATAATTTTTGCTATATCTCTACCCCATTTCACATGAATCAGCATGTAAAACAAATATGAATGGACGAATCATTTACGGTTTGATCAAAAATAAGAGGATTTTTGATATTTAAAGAGGGATGTCCTGTATTGTTTGTAATAATGGATGATTTATTTTGTGACAATTTTAACTGAATAGCCTATTATGATTTTATTGTGTTCTACCACAATAGGTGGCCTACTTTTTTAACTTTTATGTTTTATACTTTTAGTATTTAAATTTTTTTAAACTTATGATTTGATACTACGCTATAAGCAAGCAATTGAAAATGCTCCATAGAACAATAATATTTTTACACTCATGGTGATTAAAATTTAATAATTTTATATGGTATTTTTATTGATACGTTTTAATATTTCAATTTTTTTTTGTAGTAGGACACAGGGAGAATTCTACCTCATTACACACGAAAGTAAACCGTACGGAAGAAGAGCCTGAAGAAGGTTTTGAAAAATAATTAGACCAGTATGCATCTTACCAAAGAAGATATTTATTTTTATGAAGTTATGATTTACAAATAATTTACTATCCAAATGAGTTTATAAACCTCTCGAATTATTGTTTTGATTTGTTCATTTTGAAAATATTCCTAATTACTAAAAATCTTCATTTGAAAGATTAATTGGACAAAAGTATTGTTCAACTACTTAATTTCTATTAATTAAATACACTCTTTTATTTGTAGAAACAGACAATTTGATCAATATAAAGGTTGTTTTATTATGACAAAATCAGAAATTTAGGTGAGGTCCTTTTTACATTTAGTAGACAATACGGTGGTCTAGTCCGGTTGATAGGGACGGGGGTGTGACCTCACAAAATAAAAAATCAAAAATATTCTGTTCCTGTTCGTATATTAGTTTTTTAGAAAAACTCTATATTTTATTTATATTTAGTATTGCTTATATTTTTGGACTATTTTAAAGTGAGAGTTTTTATACACTCGGCAATTTGATTTTTTGAAAAATAGGCTACAAAAAAGCTAGGAAAAATCATATAATGATCTCTATAAAGTTTCCAATGATTATATGAATTATAAAGAGAAATATTATTTCTAGTTTACTTTATTTTGGTTAAGGGTACGGCCTCCGGGCTGAACTAGGATCACATTTTGTTTATATGTTGAAATATTTTAAAATTTTAGCATGCAATATGTAGTGTTGCTTTTTGCATACACAATATTTACAAACAAAAATTGTCAAAGAAATGGAACTGAACTTAAACAGAAATTAAAGGCTAATCTTAAGATTTTAGAATGTTGTTCTGCAATTATCATTTAATATTATTAAATTAATTGTAACTTTGTCCACCCTACATTTCAAAGCATGTGAGTTGGTTTCTTCCAAGCATCAAACACAACCAAGAGCATTTTTGTAAAGTTGAAATTCCCAGCAAAGAATAAGTATTTAATGGTATTTCTGAGGTAAAGATATTACTTTTTACTGAAGTATATTATCGTAAATGCTGTAAAAATTTCTTCTGAACTCTCTGTAAAATGATTTATAACTCATTTTTACTAAACCCGTTTTTCAATAATGTATGCCCATTGGCTTTTCTTGCCGTTGGTTGTTTTCAATGCTGGTAAGAAACCATCTCATCTGCTTTTAAATGTAGCTGCAATAAATTTTAGTAAATGATAATTGCAGAATAATACTCTAAAATCTTACCAATAACCTTTAATTTCAGTTTAGGCTCAAGGTCTTTCTTCTACTGATGTTTGTAAAAATTGTTTGCCAACAGCAACACTATACAGCTCGCTTCAGGCATGCTGAAATCTAAAATTATTTTAGAGTATAAACAATAATATTTCTCTTTATAATTTAAATAAAAAGTAATTCATTTGATTTTATGGAAATCATAACATGATTTTTTCTTGCTGCCTTATAGCTTATCATTTAAAAAAACAAACTACCCATATTATAAAAACTGTAACACTAGAACATAGTTAATACATAAAAATATAAATACCACTAAATAACAATAAAATATAAATTTTTTTCAAAAATCGTAATGAAGTAGAATATTTTTTGTCAACTCACGTTTTAATTCCGTGACGTCACTCCATCCTTAGCAACTATTTCAGTCTACGAACCTTGGGCTAAGAGTACCCAAAATTGGAGAAAACTCCTAATCATTGACAACACTGTGGCCGTAAATACACCGGTAAACCTAGCGAATTTTTACTGGTAACCCTTATTAATCTTAGGCGAGTATTGACATGACGTCCCATGTTATGGGACAATTTATTGGCCAATCAAAATGCTCCTTAATGGAAGATAGGGGCGTTTACAGAATTTCAAATAATTGCGCGGAATATTCACGTTATTTCTCACATAGACTAATGCTACTATTTACGTACTTTCATTATTTATATTATCGTGTTGATATGGAGCAGGACATTTTAATAATAAAGCAGCTTTTAAACAAAACAGTACAATATGAAAATGAGTCATCTTTCTTAGATAAGGATGGGCATTTTATTGAGACTACAGGGTTTTCGTAAAAATCTTTAATAAAAAGTCTTAGTTTTATTACATTTTTGCATATACAAGATGCTCATTTTGGCGTGGACAACTTGATTTAATATAAATGGGACGCCCCATAATAGATTTTTGATGCTACATAAAATGAATACATTAAAACTGATATATGCTATACCTTGGTTCAATTGTTTTTGGAACATAAACAGTTGAAAATCGTCCCTCTCTTGACTTTAAGAGGTTATAAAGCCAAATCATTTTAACATAGAGGGCGCATCAATTTTTTTTTAGAATTTCATGTATAATCCAAAAATTGTGTGTGGTAATGTTTACCCACACCAAACTGAGCAAACTGTATAACATGTAGAAATGTAATAAAACAAGACTTTGTTTTAAACATTTTTGTATTTCTTCTTTAGTAAAAAGTGCAACTTTCAGAGTTATTTCAAGTTTTTTTAAAAACCTCTCCATAGAAAATTCTACTGACCACCTCGTTTTTCCAGTTTCTTGGTAGATTATTCTGTAAATAAGATAGGCTTATATAGGAACAAAATTAATTATGAAAGTTTACTTACTTCAATATTATCGCGATTATCGCTCATTGTAACCAAATAACTGCCACAGATTGCGAATTGTGATTTTAGGGCGAAAATAATAAGATATTTTAAGGAAAAAGCAGAATGAAATTTTAATAATAAAGTAATTGTCAAACGTCACACCACAACACAACAGCAGCTGACATGAGTCGACTTTTATTTTAAAATTCGAGTTAATTTGCCTTATATTGGAAAATCTTTTATAAACTACAACAGAAAATGTAGATCGGATAGTTTAATCACAAATGATAAAGCATAAGTACATACATTATGTATATCAGAAAAATGTTATTAGATAAAATAAATTGCATAGTATTAAAGGTACACCTTAAAATCTTCGCATAGAACTATAGTTGCTTTAGAAATATTAGATTGTAATTAGTTGAAAAGAAATAGTGACTTGAAAAAGGCAATACCTACTATGACGTACGGTAACAATATCAATTAAATTTAATTTTTATTTATACAGGAAAATATTACATAGCAGTGATAAAGAAATTTCCAATACCATGTCATTCTAAAGAATTATATTGTGATGACTTGCATTGGTAATTTAATTACAGCTACTTTATAATAATTATCATTTAATTCTAAAATAATATGATTATATAATATTTAATTAAGTGATTAATTTTGTTTTAAATTTATTTGTATTATTTTATTTTAATTTCATTTAAATTTCTAGTAACGATAAACAGTGTGGTCGATTATAACTCTCCCTTTTTCTAATTCCTAAACAAAATGTGATACATTAATTTCTTATACAGTCAGAAATTGTTGAGAGTTATTAAACTTATCATGTTTGTTATAAGTATAAACATTACCATAGGGTAAATATCGTATTTTGTTTATATTTTTTTTATAATTTGTCTTAATTAAGTAAAATAAGACACAATTTACGACCTCACTGTATATAAAACATTTTATATATCTAGAATGAACTTTTTGGTTTGTTCATCTAAAATATTTAGGAAATTTATTTCTTTTTCTGTTTCATCGTCAATTATGAATAGATAATACATGGAACATCAAATAAATTTGTATATGAGTAACACTTGTTGATAACGAACTCGTAATCCACAGTTTGACCGTAGCAACGCAGAGAAAGCATTCCCTTTACTATGTATGACAGCACAATTTTATGGCAAAGGTCTATATACAGGATTGTTCAAAGCAGAAAAAAGTAAATCCATGTTTCATCCAAATAAAAAATATTTTTGTCTTATCTTCTTAATTATCTCATTTCCCTTAAATATTGTCTCCTCCAACAAATAATTTCATCTTTCTATATGAGCGTAAATTTTCTATCGTTCTTCTCTCAAACGAAGTCTAATTCACGTAAAATTTTCCACAATTTGTCTCTTTTAACATTTTGATAGGTTTCATCTCCATTAATCTCTACTTAAAGTTTATCCAAAGTAGGAGTCTTTTTTTGTAAATAAAACGAATGCACTTTTCTTAGGATCAATTTTTTTTGTATGGGTTTTCTCTCAGTTGATGTTTTAGGTGCTACTGCAATACTTCAATACTTTCGTTGCTTCAAAAGTCTATAAATAGTTGCTTCTCCAAGTCCGGTCATATTTGAACACTTAGAAACTATACTCCGAACAGTACTATTGAAATGTTCATGTACAAGAGCGTCATCTACATTTAAAACTAAAGTTTTTATATGCACGGTTATATTGTACTTTAATATCACAGGAGTATAATTAGACGTTTGTGCCATTTTTATTGCACCAATTCACTTGATTTATATCGTTTTATCGCCTATTATTACAGAACTACCAATTCTGCGTATTACAATCACAGGACTATACAAACAGAAATGTAAATCTTAACTAAAATAATTTACACTCTGCACAACACTTTCTGCCGATTAGAAATTTTAATCCCTTTTAAGAAAATTGAGGGCTACTTAAATTTATCTTGAATTGTAAATATTTTCTACTTGTAGAGATTACATACTTATTTTTGTTTATTAAAATTTAAGATAAAAATTGAAATAAATTGGTATTTTGTAAAATTTTAGGTAGAAAACCAAAGATTTTATTTTGGAACAAATAATGCTAAACAATTTATTTTAGAAATTCTCCGTCACTGATTTATGATGTTATATTGGGGTTTATCTCCTGGGTCATAGAAATTTTGCTATCATTCATTTTCATATAAACTTATAATGAAAGAAGCAATTTTGACAAGTATTAATTTATTCTAATAATATTCCCATTTTCTTAATAAACTAGATGAGTGGTATTTGATTAGCTTATAATAAATATACACTGCATAGCATACTTACTCGTTTATACGACTCAAAGACATTAAACTCGTATATTAATTTAATAATAATTATTATCAACTTTTGATAACATTGCTTCGTAGTAAAGATCCTAAATGCTTTAATTATAAATTTAATTTGGGAAAAATGGTAACTATTTATATTTTTAATATTTTTATTATTTTTGTGTATTTCTATAAAGTGTATAAATGAAAATATTTTTAATTTCATCCGATAGAAAATGTTATCTTTATTGTTTATTAATATAGTTTTAGTTTTAGTTTATTGTGATATTTGATACAATCTAAAGGGCATTGTTATGTACAAGTTTGTGTTTTTTATGTTTAAAAAGATAATTTATTTTTGTACAAGGTAAATTGAAATAAATGATTTTTTTGTAGTAAAATAGTTTTTATTTTTTTTGTAATTTCATTCGGTATACAAAATTAAAAAAAAAATTGCAAAACATTCAATGCACCACATAACCTTAATATAAATATTTCCATATTGCAGTTGCAACAAAATACATTTAGCAATAATGTTTAAAATAATGCATGACTAATTTTCAAACTATTGCAAGTGCAATATGGAGGATATTTAATTAATGTTATGTGGTGCATTGAATTAGTAATTAAATTTGCTTTCAAATAAGGTGTTACACTTTATAATACATTCAGTTTTTTTATCCCGATAGAGGGCGGTACAATTAAAAGTATCGAAGTGAACAGTCATATTTCTAAATTCCCCATAAAATTACCTTTTTAATGATGTACTACACATTGTAGTGTCACACTCTATAATACATAGTAATTTTTTATCCCGTTAGAGAGCGATAAAATTTAAGTAAAGCAATGTACAGAAATATTTCTGAATCCACCATTAAATTACCTTTATTTAAAATTAAGGTGTTGGAGAAGTGAAAGGGAAGGGGTTGACACATGACAGATGCCTGTATTGTATTTTTTTTTTAATTTGGATTAAAAATCGACCTGTTTTAGAATTTTCTTAAAATCCATTGATTAATGCTGAAAAACAGGATAAAACTGTTTTGAGTAAGCCACTCTGTATATCAAAATTGGCTAGAGTTATCGAATTAGTTCATAGAACAAAATCTGCTTAAAAATGCATTTTTCACAAGATGCGCTACACAAGAAAGATCCTCCCATCGAAAAAACATTATTGAGCCTAGCGCCATCTACATATTGACCTATTTAAATTCAATTTTTAACTAAAACTGAAGCTTTCTTAGTGCCCTGTAAACTGACTCTTACAGAATTAAAATATCTCTATTACTTACTAAAATATCTGGCCTGGGAGTTTTTATTGGTACACCCTGCATATGTATATCGTTTTTATTTATTAGAGGACTTTTTTCCTGAAAGGTAGAGCTATTAAGAACGTGACATTACATTCAGTACATTTTCTTCTTACTATTTAGTACATGCCTTTTAGTGTTGCAACAATGCTGTTTAGGTTTGAGTAGTTTTGTCAGGTTAGTGCTTAAAGTGTTTATTTTCCTGAAAGTTGTGTACAAGTATACAGATTTAAAAGCAATAAACGGGGGTTTTGCCATTTCTCCCGACACTAAAAGGTGAGTTATTTACTAATATACGAGTATGTTATCTTGTGGTTTAGCAACGCAGAGAAACCAAGCATTTTTAATGATCAGAAATGATTAACTCTTTTTTATATGATATAATCTCATAATTTTACACCATTTGTAAATAATTAATTATAACCAATATAATTTAATCCTTTCAATAATAATTTTCTTGAAAATGGATTTAAGACTACAATTATATGACTCACTGTTAAAAAGCTCTAAAAATCTCATTATATTTGAATTTGTCGCTCACAAATTTAGAATCCTAGACACTCGGTGACTGCGAGGGTTCCTAAGTAGTAAACGTCCTGTGTGTTAACCATCTCGTACTGGACGACGCCCAAGCGAGTATTCTCATCCTGTAGGCGCATAAAAACTAGTTTTACAGGTTCTGCTTGTAGTAAGCAGCAAGAAGGAAGTCATTTTTATGTGGATTGGATGACCATACCAGTTTCGGCACAGGTCCTCGGATTTCGGTCCTTGTACCATACTTGGTCTACCTACCGTCGCATCTAGAATGTTTTTATGGTTTCGGGATTTTAGGGACCCCCCTAGTGAGTGTCTCTAGTTCGATGTGTAAGAGAAGTCCCAGTAGTTGGAAGTACAGAGTACTAGTATTCGAGGTGATCAAGTAGTTGACACCATTTAAGTTGCTGGAAATGGCAGGACGCAACAGTTGTCGCTTAAGATGTTGGATTATGTATAGAAAGGTTGCTGAATTTACAAACTGTTATCAGAGTTTTTTTTTATTATTTTTGGATTAATTTTTTTTGGCTTTGAGTTCGGGAAACTTTACCTCGTTATCTTTATAATAAATTAACATATCACGAAAAACTTCAATAACATTGGGTCCTGTGTGTTGGCCGTCTCGCAGTGGATGACGCCCAAGTAAGTATACCCATAAAGTATTCACGGAAAAACCGGCTTAGCCTGAGGTAGGCAACAAGAAGTTAGTCGTATTTGAGTGGATCATACGACCATACTAGTTTTGGCACAGGTACTCGACGGTCATTGGATCATACTTATCCTACCAATAGGTCACATCTAGAATTAATTTTCTATGGTTTGGGACCAGTTGGGACAGTGTTCTTGCAAAGACATAATTAAAAAGCCCCTAGTATAAAAACTAGTACGCGAGACTCACTGGCATTCATCAGCCGCTACCATTGTAGCCATTTTTGGACAACAATGTTACTACGGGAAAGGAGAAACATGCTTATCTATACAGATAGCAGACAAGCACTACTTATGATAGGTCATACCATGAATTTACTAAGAGTTAGTGCTAAAATGTCACATAGCTTTGGTCCAAAGTACTCGTCAATAAAATGGTCAACTTAAGATGGATCAAAGTCACGCCACATCGAAAGGTTACCATTTTGCTGATTCGCTAGCCAAGAAAGCAGCCAACCAAATATTTTTTGGACCTGACCCTTCTATTGTAATGAAAACATCGGTAGTAAATACCTAGTTGAACATTCCTTTGTGAAATTCAAAAAATGATGCAGTGAAACAAAAAGCTGCAGACTTGGCAAGGAGCTTTTAAGTTAGCCAGGCAATACTACAACAAACAAATACTTGACCATGACTAGACAGAATCTGCGTCTGATCACACGACTTATCCTTGACAAGTACTGAAGAATCTACATATCACAGGGCTATAAGAATCCGCACCCTGGAGGAGGGGGATGTAAACAAGATGATGAGACAATTATGTTTGCCCAACGCTCTCATTTATTGAGAATTGGCTAACACCGTTCGATAAACGAGAAGCACCTCTTAGCTACGTTGTCAACTATATTAAATCCGTAGGCTGGATCATGAGATAGGAGGATGCACAATAAATCTTCTAAGGCCTAAATGCCATGGGTGTTAACATACTCGCCACATTTTAAGGTACAGATAAGGGTAAGAGGAAGCACAGGTGTGCTGGACACTTCATTCTGAAACGGTTACAAGGTAAAGTGATAAACTGGTGTAACGAGGAATTTGTATCTTGAGTAAAATAGAAAATTCATATGTACACATCAGCTAATCGGACATTTCCTCGCAATCGTCACGGTGAAGTACACAGTGGATTAAAATACTCGAGGTAATCTGGTATCGACACGGTATGTTTGTGCTTATATGTACTAGTTTAGTTTTTTTCTTCTAAGAATGACTGCCCGGCCTAGTAAGTAATGTTGGTAAATGCTCGAGGTGTCAAAGCGATGCTGCTTAGGTACAGGGGCCCAATTCTCGAAACATGCGTTAACTGCCGCATGCGCTAAGTAACGTATGGTCGTTAACGCATACGACAGCAATTTAGTATTCCTGAACACCATGCGATAATCGCGAATCAAGTCGAACGTGTTAACGAAGAGTCTTTGATTATTGCATAGTCTTAACCAATGAGGATTGAGAATACCAAATATGGTATCACTGAATATGAGATAATTGCATTGGCATATGTCAAAATTGCCAAAAATGCAAAAATTATAAAATTAAATGGATTGCAGATGTCTAATAATTTTTGGTTTTTGGATGTTTTAACTGTGATTATTTGTATTTTGGACTTTAGAATTGGAGTGGTTTAGATTTAGAATATTAAAAATGGAACAGCGTGGTTCACGAATAACCGGAACAACGGAAAAACAGCGTCAAACTTTAGTAGAATTTATAACATTGTTTAGTGCCTGTAAAACTCCTATGATAAAGCAGGATTAATTGACAATTATAACAAAGACAACCATATCCAAAAGAAAATCAAACTATGTGGAGACAACCCTCTGATTATAACCTTACGTTCACCTTAACGAATGCGACAAAGTGGTTGTAGAACGGTCATGAGCGCTCTTTGAAAATCACCATTTTTTAGCGCATGCGTTAATAAATTTGAAGAATGCCGCCAGTTCAGGAATACACTTTCATCAAGTGGCATACGTTATCGCATGCGATAAGTTAACGAAGGCGTCAGGAATTGGGCCCCAGAGTGCTGGTATTAGAAACGAATGAGTGGTTGAGGATTTCTAAATTCTCAGATATGAAAGTCATTGTTTCACTCAAGCGCGTGCAAAGGGAGACAATTCCGAAAGAGGGCATTTTAAGTTTATTATGGTAAACAAGTTGTTACATAAAAAGCTACTTTTGTGCTAAAAGGGGTTAATAAGTTTTCCATTGCACTAGTTTTGGTGTAGTGTAAATCGAAACAACTCGTTTTTAATTTGCAAAGCAAGCAATGTTAAGTTATCTTAACTAAGACTTGGAAATTATTTAGTACTATCCAAGTCAAGGCGAGTTATCTCCCTAGACACTAAAATTTCTTTTATTTACAACTATACATGTAATGTTGTCATTACTAACGTCATTGAAGGTTGGGAAGTGTCACATTACACACCTCTACTTCCCGCCCTCACTTCCCGCCCTCATTTCATCTATTCCAGATGAATATTTTTTTGACAAATTTTATAATACCTATTTAATGGCAAACAATAAAAAAACAACAATGAACTAAAATACAAAAAACTACTTATTGATATTTATTATTCGCGAATTTAATA